CAGGGGCAGTAATTTAATGTTGTGTGCTCCCTTCCTCCCATCCCCCTTCCAAACCACGGAATGTAAATTTTAGTCTTTTAAAAGTTCTGTTTTGAAAACCTAATAGATAACTGTTCTCATAAAAACTATTAATACAGACCACATCCAATTGTAAAGCTAATTTTAATCATGTTTTGTGCCAACATAATTTCTGATGCCAGATTTTTATGCTAAGCATGAACTTCAATTTGAGCTCTGTTCTTTAACCTGCAGTTCATAATTTTGCATTCGGCTGTATAGGTTTTTGGCTATGGCAGTTTGAACGCTTCCACTTTCAAGGATCTAAGCCATAAATGTTTATTAAAAGAATCTATAATGAAATCAGTTTTGTTATTTTTTTAATGGCTGCCTTGAGTATGTTGGATGACTGAACGCACGTTGTTAATCATTAAGTACTCATGTTACAAAAAGTGTTTGATAGTATTGCCATCTAGGGGCTGAACTAAATTCTCCGTACTGAAATAAACTGTAATTGAACAGGTGCTGCTATTGACAATATACATATGTTTTTGCTTTATAGCCCACATGCTTTCCATGTTTCTTATGACAAAAGATATCTCTAAATGTCCCACAGCAGCCAGAGCTTTTTTATATATAATCTGTTCGAGGTGATTGCTATTTGCATTTGAGCTTATGCTTTTTTGGCAGTGATGACTGGGAATTCCTAACAAAGAATTATACTTTTTTGCATTATTAATCTCGCTAGTGTTTGCCCTGTTTAACAGAAAAAGGAATCATTTATCAGAAAAGTATATTTATAATCTGTACTTGTGGCATCTTCAGATTTAATATTCATAATGGTCATTCAAATGCTGTGCTATATTTATCTAAAAGACTAACTCATTGTTGTGAGGAAATAACTATTTAAATATTTATGATCTAACTTTTAATATTTAAAAAAAAGAAATTAATATTTCTTTAAAATTTGTTTCTGAGTCTGATAGCTTAACAAATGTTTAAATATTAAACAATTGGAAGTGTTAGCATTTAACAACTTAATATGACTTACTGAAACAGGGAAATTGACTTCAGCTGTTTCTGCCACACGAAGGAAACTGAATTCCCACACGCCCCTTCTTGAGATCTATATAATTAATGCAAAAGCACAACTAAAAAGGAGATTAAATACATTGGTGATCAGCTGAACTCCTTTCTTCCTCGCTCCTCGGATGAGACAAGTCTGAACAGTCTCCTACTGAAAAGTGTTACTCCTGCTCTTTGTTAGCCACTGTATCTTTCGCGCCTGTTCAAAATACTATTAGGGCTGTATCGCCTTCCTGCCTAGATTGGAATTTGTGCTGAGGCTCGCTTTGCCTCATATCTGAGCAGTTTCAGGTCTGTGTCAGATGCTCCTTGGGGTAAGCTGGATAAAGCTGTGAGCTGCGATGCCAGTGGCCCCTTCTGGCCATGGCTGATGCCCCTCGGTCTGCAGCCACCTGCACGCCCCTGTGCTGGGCTGTGGTCTGGCATGGTGGCAGGTCAGCCCCAGCCCTTCCAGCCCTGGCAGAGCCCAGTGGGATTCACGAACAGCCCCGCTCCTCCTAGCCTCTCTCCACCGGTGCGAGGCGAGGGTCTGGCACCAGGGAGGGTCGAGCCCGCTTGTCTGTGTCCCCATCCGTAGTGTGGCTGCTTCCTCCAACCTGGAAAAACAGGGAGGGTTCTTGTAAGGCAGCGGGTTGCCCCTTACCTTGTGAATTTCTTTCAAGCGACATCTTTACAAGCAGGACCATAGAAACCAGTTTATTCCCTCCTTCCCTCTCTCTCCCCCGCCCCTCGCGTTTAAGGGGTTTGTTTTCAGTATGGAAATGAAACTGTGCTCTTGGAAACACTGTTGTCCATCCAGATTACAATGCTCTAAGTAGCTAGAACAGGACAGCATGCCTATCAAATGTCACATCTACACACAAGATGTATAAGGATTCTTTAGAGGCAGGCATCACTCATATACCACAGCTTTTTACATGTGCTTGAATCCTGCAGAGTACCAGGCACTCTCATCCTCACTGAGCAAAGCTCAGACACCTGCTGAATGAACTGTAAGTTGTTTGCTAGCTGAGATTTGGACTGTGCAGGACTCGCCAGGAGTCAGCTCTGAAGTCTCTACTATAATGATACGTACTTTTTAAAAGCTTAAGAGTTTCTTTTTGAGGTTCAGCTACGGAAACACACCAAAAAAATCCTGGTAATCAGATGGGGTATTCTGCAAAGCAGTCAGAAGCAACCCAGAGCTGAGACCTCATTTTCCAAGTGACATCATAAACCACAGATGCTGATTATTTTTTTAACTAACTCAAACATCTGTATTCTTGCTTCAGGGAACAAAGCATCAGGCTCATTTATTTGGATTGAAACCTTTCACAACATATCATATTCATGTTGTAGCTGTAAACAATGCCGGGCAGGTTTCAAGCCCCTGGACATCTGTGCAGACATTGGAAGCTTCACCCAGTGGCCTGAGCAACTTCACTGTGGAAAAGAAAGAAAATGGCAGGGCTCTGCTGTTAAAATGGTCAGAGCCCTCCCAACCCAATGGCGTGATTAAGGTAATCTTCATCTTGACACTTCACTTGATCAAAAAAGAGAAGGGAAATGCTGAAAATCAAATTAAAACATTTTTGCTGAAACGGACTCAGTCAAATGCATTATACTTTAAAATAACACAGAAGTCCTATGTAAGCACAAGGCACTCTGTGAGCGCTCTCTGCTTGTGGTTATATTAAAATGGGTATTAACATTCCTGTGCTACCCCATGACTGTAAATGTTCATTTACAGTGAATCAAATTGTTCATTTAATGTATAGAAAGCTATGCATGAAAGCTTATAATCTTCCTTGGCATACATTAGACACTGCCAAAATGTGTTCCTAGAAAACCTGGGTTTGACAGAATGTTGTTCGGAAATCTGGGACTTCTTTTAGCTCAATGGTTTCAACTGAGTGTAAACCTTTACCTGCAAAGTTTGCAACTACAGGAGTTTATTTGGAGGGTTTTTTCTTAAATGTTTTTCTCTAGAGTTAGTCTGTGAGAAGCTTTGTGCTAGCCTTTGAGAGCTTCGCAATGAAACTTGATAACAAACAAATAAAATGAAAACTGTCACTAAGTGATTTATTACTGCATCCAAAATGAAAAAAACATGAAAATTGGATCAAAACATTCCTTTTCTATCAATGATCTGTTTGTGTGCTGATTGTTACTAGTAAGAAAGTAAGTTTATGAATCATTGGTTAATAGTCCTTACCCTATTGTAAATATTAAGGTGTCTCATCTACTGGTTATTGACAAGAATTGTTGATTTATGTAATTTTTTTTTTTTTCCTTTTATCCTGGCTTCTGTCTTTTCTCCCCTCCCTGCCTTTTTTTTCTTTTTCTTTCTTTCTTTATTCACCAGACCTACAATATTTTCAGCGATGATAACCTGGAGTACAATGGTTTATCTCGCCAGTTCCTCTTCAGGCGCCTTGAGCCGTACACTCTCTATACCCTCATACTGGAGGCTTGCAATGCGGCAGGCTGCACTCGTTCTCTACCCCAGCCGGTCCGAACAGATGAAGCACCCCCAGTGTCTCAGATGGCACCTGTAATCCAGGCAGTGAATGCTACCAATGTTGAACTGAGCTGGTTGCAGCCAATTAGTCCAAATGGAAAAATAATTCGCTATGAAGTTATTCACAGATGCACAAAAGAAAGTGCTGCAGGGAACAGAGCAACAACAGAAGATGAGAAAATTGTTTTCACAGAATATAACACTGGAAGTAATACATTCATGTATAATGATAAAGGTTTACAGCCATGGACAAGGTATGAGTATAAAATACGCGCCTGGAATGCAGCAGGCTATGCTGACAGCTCCTGGACAGTGGCAAAGACTAGTCAAACTGCCCCAAAAGGTCTCACTGCCCCCAGGTTATCCTTGGTGTCAGTTAACCCCCGTAAAGTGTTAATCTCGTGGGCCTCCCCAGCACAGCCCAATGGTATTCTTCAGTCCTACAGATTGCTAAAAAATGATGTTCTCCATCCTTTCAGCTTCGATGCTGCTACTTTCAACTACACGGATGAAGACTTACTGCCCTATTCAATGTACAGTTACGCGATAGTTGCCTGTACAATGGGAGGCTGCTCTACCAGCGAACCAGCTGCAATACGGACACTGGAAGCAGCTCCTGCCTTAGTGGATCCACCATCTCTGCAGGCTGTTAGTGCCACTCAAATTAATGCATCTTGGGCACCTCCCCAAATACAAAATGGAGATATCACCAAGTACATACTGAAATTTAACAATGAAGAGTATTATCCTGGCAAAAGTTTGCAAATGTTTATTTCTAATCTACAGCCTTACACACAGTATGATTTTGCATTGGTTGCCTGTACTGCCGGAGGCTGCACATCTAGTATATCCCAGTCAGTGATGACCATGGAGGCCCCACCATTAAATATGGAAGCTCCCAGGCTCCTTGTCATGGGCTCGGAGTCAATTGAAATCACATGGAAACTTCCAGCTAACCCCAATGGCAAAATCACAAGCTATGACCTAAGGAGGGATGGTGTTCTTGTTTACTCAGGTCTGGAAACTCGGTATCTTGATTTCACCCTAATGCCAGGCATGGAGTACAGCTACACTGTCACTGCAAATAACAGTCAAGGGAGTGTGACCAGCCCATCAGCTCAGATAAAAACCAACCCCTCTGCTCCATCTGGGATGTTGCCTGCTAGGTTGCAGGCATGGTCCTCAAAGGAGATTTTGGTGGCCTGGGATCCTCCTATCAAAGTAAATGGTGAAATTAGAAATTATACAATCTCGATCCACAAGCCTGCTGAAACAGAAAAGAAAACCATTGACTTTGATGCATCTCATGTTTCCTTTGTGAGACGGTCGTACATAGTGGCAGAACTACAGCCCTACAGCAGGTAAGTCTGGAAGACCTCATTTGTTGAATAAATGCTGCAAGGTGGTTCAGTGGGCTGGCAGATAGCTTAACGATCTTGTTTAAACAGATAGTGAAACCCATTGGGTTTTGTTTCCTAAAAAGCCCATGATAAAACTAGGATTTTTTAATTTATAGTAACACCAGCTATATATCACCTTGATGAAGTGCATAGGGTTGACTTTGGTTGTAGTTAATACAAGGGGCAATTCACTACTCTGCTATAGACTCCACAACCTTCAGTCTTGTACTTGTGTATCTTTCTCAAGATGTCTTCATTCAAGAATAAATAGGGCTTTAGTTGACAAAGTTCACGGTGGGGAGACCAAAGACCTGTTAGCTAGCCCATTCACAGTGTAGCTAAGCTAAGATTAATGGAGTCATGCTAGGAACATGCTTACACCCTTGAGCTGAAAACAAGCAACTTGTTTTTCAGTGAAAACTAAAACTTAAGAGAAGGTAACGCTCGGCTACAGAAGGAGCACACTTGATACTGAAGTAATATGTCCCCTACTAATTCTTGATTATTTACCTGACCTTTCCTTATATATTTTTGTAGGCATACCTTTGTTACATGGTTGATAAGTCTATCTACTATTTACATATAACTAAGCTAAATCCAAAGAGAGAATAGAGTGAGGCTCTATAGCTCTCAAATGATACCCAAATCATCTCCTACAATGAATCATCATTTTGATTCATATCATCAAAATCAAAACTATTTTGATCACTTGTCTCCTGCAGATGTTAACTCTGCTCTGAGAAAAACCCAACAAATGAAAACCCAGAAGACAGCGTTCTTCCTTTTCTCTACGCAAGGCACAGCATATAATCTGTATGATGACACAAATTGTTTTCATATTAAAAATTGCAAAGACCAAGAGAATTTAAGAGATTCCCCTGGATCTCGTGCACAGTCTATATTTGTATTTGCAGTGTTTTAATCACTTCATTCCTGATTTGTGTTCCCAAAGGTATGAAGTACAGCTCCAAGCTTGCACAGAGCTGGGTTGTGCCTCCAGCGAGTGGGCATCAATACAGACGCTGGAGGCGCCCCCGGCAGTGCAGCCTGCCCCTCTCATAGAAATACAGACCAGAGCTGGGGGCTTCCCGTCGACTTCTTCTGTCCTGTGGACTGGCCCACAGCAGCCAAATGGGAAGATTTTATACTATGAACTTTACAGAAGGCGAACGACTCAAGCCCACATAAATTTAGACCTCGCACTTGTTTACAATGGTTCTTCAACCTCCTTCAAAGATGACAAGTTGCTGCCTTACACAGAATATGAATATCAGGTGGGAATTGAAGCCATTTAGCAGCTCCGATTATGATTTCAGTACACTTTGAGAACCTTACTTTACACTCACAAAGAACATACACTTCTCATTTCTAATGTTAATAGTATTGCGATACCTGAATGATTATTGTTAATGTATTTTAAATAGTTGAGAAGCTGAAAATAATTTTGCACAAGCAATACATTCATTCAGCATTCTTTTTTTTTACCTTAATCGTGCCTGTGTTTCTTGTATCTTAAATGTTTGTGCACCCTCCAGAGCTTTTGCAAGGCTCTAATGTTATATGAGTAATGTGAAATTCTAGTTCTTAAAAGGCAGCTTCATTTCACTGGTTTTTCATTGTTTTTCCGTCTTCCCCAATCTATTATGAATTAATTTTTACTTTATGACCTTAAAGTGGTTTACATCAAGAAGGACTGGGGTTGTTTCCTCTTTAAATTAGACATTAGGTTCACAAGCAGTTTTCATGGATGGTTCAAAAGTGAATTTGATGTTGATGGTTTGTGTTACTTCTTATGCTCACCGGTATTTTTACTATTGTTTTTCTTATGAGGCTAGGGTAAAGCAAGGAGCCCAGTTCTGCCATTCTTTTACCTGTAATTGTTTTCTATGGCGAAGTTACAAGTCTTAGCACCATTTTTTTATCATACAGTACTAGTGGTAATATAGGGCTTTACTTGATTTCAGCCTATGCACTAAGAACTTTGCTGTTTATAAACACCTGAAATCTTTCCAAAGCTTTTATATGAGTTGGTGGAGTTTAGACCCTCACCAAAAGAGCATCCTTGAATTTTTGTTTCTAAAAAGAAGTGGATGTAGTATCATAACAGAATGAGACTGATTTTTGAATATGATGTTGTCTATGAATATGCACACTTCTTTGCCACCGAACCGGACACCAGTAAGCCTCACTACTGATTCTGTACGCAATATTTGTACACATGATATATCTTGAAGAGGAGTTTGGCAATGCTCAAAAGTCTTTACAACCTTTTTCCTGAAAAAAATAAGAAAAATTGTTCAAGCATGGATTTGTTTTGATATGTATGAAACATGGTGCATTCCACCTCTTGAGATCCTGCAAGGTGGTGGCAATCTTTCTTTTATAGGCTCTTTTGCTTTATAGGATCACAAGATAATTCAGGTTGGAAGGGTTCTCAGGACACTATCCTTAACTTCCTGCTCAAAGCTGGGTCAGTTAAGAGGTCAGATGAGGTTACTCAGGGCTTTATCCAGTCGCATCTTGAAAACCTCCAGGGAGTGAGATTGTATAACCTTTCGGGTCAGTCTGCTCCACTGCTTGACTGTTCTCATTATGAAAAAGGTTTTTTATTACGTCTAGTCTGAACCTCTGTTGTTTGAACTTATGCTTGTTTTCTCTTATCCCCTCCCACCCCTCCACATACCACTGTGAGAAACCTGGACCCACCTTCCTCTTAGCCTGTGAATAGGTGCTGTGGGACTGCAATCATATCCCTCCAAAGCAATCTCTTCTCCAGTCTGAACAAGCCCCAGTCCCACCGCTTCTTCTCATAGACCAGGTTCTGCAACCCCCTGATTACCATGGTGGCCTTCCGCTGAACTTGCTCCAATTTATCAATATCTGTCTTGTATTCATGGGCCAAAACAGACTAAGTGCTAAGTAAAGGCATGTAATCACTTCCTTTAATTGTCTGGCTATGCTCCTGTTAAACAACTCAAGATGCTGTTGGCCATCTTTGCTGCCAGGGTACACTGCTGGCTCATGTTCAGCTTTCTGTCTACTAAGACCTCTAGGTCCTTCTAGCAGAGCTGCACCCTAGCTGGTCAGTCCCTATCCTGTAATGCTGCAAGGAGTTATTCCTTCCCAGGTGCAAGACTTGGCATTTGTCTTTGCTGAAAGTCTTAAAGCTCCTGATGACCCATTCCTCTAGGCCCTTCTGAATGGCAGACCTGCCCCTGAACATATTTACCAGTCCCCTCCAGTTTGGTGTCATCCACAAATTTGATGAGAATACACTTTACAGATCAGGTTCTTTGGTAGCTGTGGTCCACTGCTACTGTTACGTTGGTTTTGGTAACCAGAAACCATAAAGAATTAAATCTAAAAGGTTTCTTTATCACATTAGCAGTACAGTGTATCCAGCTGCTATATGTACATGTGTCATAGATGCATGGAGTCATGTAGGTTAGACGGAACATCCAGAAGGCACCTAGCCAAACTCTCTGCTTGAAGCAGGTCCAGATAGAGCAGGCTGCTTAGGGCTGTGTCCAGCTGAGTTTTGGATCAAGCCCTCCATCCTTGAATCTCCAAGGCTGGAGATTGTACAGTCTGTGTGGGCACCCTGTTCCAATTTCTGACTACATATGTCTCATTTTTGTTTGTTCCCTTGTTTCAACTTGTGTCTGTTACCTCTTGCTCATTTACTGTCAGAGTCCTGGGGCCTTGGAAGGAGCAGTGTAGTGGCTTTCCTCATAAATCAGTTATAGCAGCTCTAATTTGGGTAAGAAAAGGATTCTCAAGGGACAGTTATAAAACTATTGAAAAGAGACCCTAGGATGCTACTAGAAACGTATACTCACTACAGCATTTGCAAAGCCTTTCTTCTCTGCTTGTCAATCACAAACCTCTAGTTTTTTCCTTTTGATGTTTCTGGATTGGCAGCATGTCTGCAAGGTAACAACCAGTGTGAAAAGTGTGTCTGTTAGCTTTGTGCTGAAGGAAATGACGAGCATCTGTAAGCTGACTGCTTCTTATTGCTGACTGCAGGTTCACGTTGCTTGATTTCCTTCAGTTAGTTAATGACGTCGTCTTGAACCTAGCAGTACGGGAGATGCTAGAACAATACGTTCCAAAGCAAAAATGTTAATTACTTAAAGCCTGAAAATTTATTGCACTTTAGGTATGCAAGGGTATATTTTTCAGTTGTCACTTCTCATGTAAAAAAAGCTGTTAAACCTTTCGTAGAAACAGCACACTTTAGGGTGGACTGTTTGTGTTTTGAGTCCTACTATGTACAAATATTAAGGTTTCCATTTCTTTCTCCCAGCTTTTCTTTAATGCCTGTGTAGGACCTGTCCATAGGCCTACAACACTGTGAAGTCTGCTCTCCATTTACTGTAGGTTCCTTATAGCAGAACTGTTGTTAGATCAGATCTTGCTATTTTGGACACAATCTGTGAAGAATGTGAATTCAAGTGCAGGTGGGGCTGGGTAGGTAGCAAGCATTGTAGTAGACCCAAGCCCTACTTATTAGTTAGGAATCTTTCTTAGATAAAGAAAAACATCCCAGGTCGGTATCTGAGCTGGAAGTTGTAGATGTTGGCTGTGGGATACTCTCATTTGCACCAACTTTCAATTATCTCAGTCAGAAGTTGTTTTTTGAGAAGTTGATAGCACAGAGACTTGCTTGAGCCAAAGTTTTTAATGATTTATTAGCGACAGGTAACAAAGAAAGTCTCTTGACCGGATTCCTGTGGTTTTCCTGAATATTCCTGAATACCGTGCTGTATTCAAGACTTTGCTTTTTATCTCGGTTCTACTCAATAACCAAGCTGAGCTGTTGACTGGGACCCTAAATCATTTTTTGTTTTTTTCACTGGTGGCCATTTATTTCACTGTGAGAGGTTTTTGCACGCATGTGTTTGTCTTCTGCTTATGTCACTTGCAGCAGTCCTGTGGGATCTATTCTGAGCCCCTCCATTGTTGACAATTTATATCTTGCCTGTGAGACAAGTTATTCATAAGTATAGGGCTTGGCTTTGGCTATTATGCTGATGAAACCCAGATTTATATTTCACTTAAACTGGATATTGATTCTGCTGTCTCTGCATTTGAGGCTTGTTTGCTGGACATAAAACTTTAAATGCAACTGAATTTCCTCCAGGAGAATGCAGATAAAATCCAAGTGCTGTGATGGGACTCTCTCCAGCATTTTTGGAGGTATTGAGATTTAGTTCAATGAGCCCTGACAGCTTCTTTGGATCTGAAGTCAGGATTTTGGGGTTGGGTTGTTTTGTTTTGATTTGTTTTGTTTTGTTTTGTTTTGTTTTGTTTTTCTTTTGCTGGAAACTTCAGCTGAATATTTAGGGCTTGTAAGACTAGATGCAAAAGTTGCACTTTCAAAAATGGTGAAGTGATTTTAGCAGCTCATACTGGTCAAAGGGACTGTGTCCCCTAAATGCTTAGGTCACTGTTGTTCAAGGATGCACTTTTGTTCTTTAAGGGCCAGATCTACATAAGCATATTAGCACCTGCTAGGTATCAGTGGATTTTTAAGAGGCACTAAGGTGCCTACTGTCCCATGTTTGGAAATAATTACTTAGATCTTTGTAATTCCCTCTATTGGTCTATTCGTATATTTAGATATTTGCATTCTCTAGAGCATTTGGCTGTTTAGATATTCGTTGGAATGCTGCCTAAGATCCTTAGCTGTATGTGGCCTAATGAGTTTGTAAGTGTAATCTTTTGATTCCTGGAATATTTCTGAAACAGACTACATAGGCTCTCTTCAGGAATTATTGAGGATGGTGTGCAAAGTTCCCATATAGTAACCTATAGTCAGACCTGGTTTTCTTAGCTAAGGGAAGGCCCTTTTGAACAGAGAATTGTGGCATTTAGTGCTGTTCTGCAAAGCAGAGCTGTCAGTGTATGGTGCAATTTCCATGCAAGTGCAACGTCACTCTTCCATAATTGCGCTTAATTGTGTACTTAGGACTGCTTCTTTAGATTAATGGCTTAATGTCTTCCTGGTTTAGGGCACATCCTTATTTCCACTTGGCAGGCATGGAACATGTAAAAGACAGAAAAGTAGGATTGTCCCTTTTCAGAAAGCTTTATGGCTCCCTGCAGATGTTTATTCTCCAGGAGGACTATCCGGTGCACCAAGGCAGGGTCTGCAGCGCTGAAGCTGTCTGCCTCCGACCACTGCGGGAGGCACAGCATCCCTCTTGCTTGTGAAGCACGCTTCTCACACTCCAGTTACTGTAGCCAAGTGAAGGGTCTAGGAAATACCCCA